ATTTTATTTTATTTTACTTTATTTTATTTTTCCTAATTTCTGTTCGTGGCCCCATCATGTACTTCCTACATACTACTCCACAAATCACTTACTTCCCTCTTGACCTACTAGCTGCAATTAATAGCACATTTGTCTTTTCAAGAGATCCCTGAGGAAACATTCTTTATAGTCCGTAAAAGTGAATGAAACTCTTCCTCATCTACAGCAAATCAGATATTACAAAAGGAACTGCTAAGCTCTGCAGTTAAAATTCTCTTCAAGGTTTTGAGGAGAGGAATGTAATGAAACTGAACTCCATTAGTGCTGTTTTAGGAAGAGGTCAAACAATTCACAGTCACTGGAGGTGGGACAGGCAAATGTGGGGCTTCAGTCTATTCCACCCTGCTCATTCCCTCCAGAAGACAAATAAATGCTCAGTCCCACCTACAGTTTGTGTACAGCTATGTCTCCCTGAAGACCTGCCATCACCTTCTCCCATGGGAGACTGCTCCACAAATAATCTCACAGACAGGAGAGTCCTCCTAGGAACTGGCTAAAAGTGTTGCCTCATGATTGGTATCTAGAATTATAATTAGGGGCAGGGGGAGGGTGGGTATTTTACTTTTTGTTAAAACCACGGGTGCTTTCAGGAAGCTATGCATTTCAGGACTTTCTTTTCTTACACAGTCAGATTGGTGGCTAAGCCCATTTTCTGAGCTTTTTAGCATAGTTCCGTGGCTAGTTTCAGACAACAGGAGAGCAATATAGTAGTGCATGTCATTAGATGACTATTTTATGAATTGCAGCATGAATTGAAACATACTTCTCCATGCTAATAGTGAATTATCCCACTTCTTACCTAGTTTAAATAACCAATTTCCTGTCAAACTGCTTACGAAATATAGGGAAATAAGCGTATCATATTTACCTTTTAGCACCTAATACTGAAAAATGAGAGTCAGACGTGCCTTGGCTGGCTTTTATATTGACACTCCTTTTCTTTCCTTCCCTCTCTCTCTTTATTCAGTGGAAATTAACCTGACAAATGATTATTATGTAAGTGGAGGTGGGTTAGACACCGTATTCAAAGCAAGCAAGATCACTTTTCACTGGGGAAAATGCAACGTGTCATCAGACGGATCAGAACATAGTTTAGAAGGACAAAAATTTCCTCTTGAGGTAAAGTACAGAATAGATTCTGACAATTTTGATGATTTGACATTCTGAAAAAAGTAATACTGTTTACCAAATACCTTTGTTTATTACTTGATTAAAGTCTATTTGCAAATATAATCATTCAGTTAAATCCAAATTAATAATATTAAAATGATGCATTTTAGAAGGGCAGCATAAGGCATTATTCCATGGCATGTTGCGAATGTCTACACTGTGTGTTTTTGCACATCTTCTAAGTTGACATTAAAAGTCAGTTCTGCTAATCTGACAAAGTTCAAGCTCCCACTATCAGTTAAGCTCCTGTGAGTTTGGCCCATCAAATTCCACAGCAGGCAGTTTAAAGTGTACATGGACTTTTCAAAGCTGGGACTTTGCTGAGAGCCCATGGGAGCTGCTGGGCCTTACCGAGACAAAGCGCAGCCCATGTTGCTGGGCTGGAAAAAGCTGGCAGCAGAGTGCCAGGAGCCATCGTGTGAGAGCAGGTCCCGGGGGTGGCCACATTCACAGGCAGCCAGGCCAGCATAGCCCTGGCTGGTTTGGCAGAATAGCTTGCAGCAGCATGGGGATGGGGTGGAGGAGAGGAGCAGCTCTTGTTGAGATGCACAAGGGCAGTCTGCAGACCAAACTTTCAAACCTCAACGTGGCGTTGTGATCACTTTCCAGTTAAAAAGATGTAGTTGTGGCAGGCAACCGTGTTGCTTCTCACTCCACCTTGGACTTCTATGTCAGAGCAAAGCAATAGAGCCAAGGTTGTCCTATACTCTGCAGACAGCTGTGAGCCAGGAGCTTTCCCTGGGCAGTGTCATTTCCTTTACATCATTAGCCATTTAAAAATTCCCACTCACACTCCACCTGTTCTGCCAAGGCATTGAAGAGAATATTCTCTTCCATCATCATCACATGAAAAGCTAGTAGGAGCAGGACACTTCCCCATTCATGTTGGTGACCCAGCACTGGAGGAGATTTCCCAACTGCATCTGGAGAAAGAGAGGAAGGGGTGAAACAAACCCAGTGCCCATCACAGCAGTCAAATGTGGCCACAAAATACGTGCTAATCTTTTATTACCAATGCTTCTCTACACCTATGGCAAGGCAGACGCAGTAGGGACATCATACCTTATTATTCATGTTTTGCCACTGATTTCAAGATTCATCTCACCCAAGTACTCTAGGTTACATGTCCAGTATCAGCAAGTTATCTCGGCTTATTGTATTATCCATGGGCAGCGTTGTGCTCCTTGAAAGGATAACTCCTGCATACTTAGTGGTTTTCCAAGACAGTTCATTTTTAGATAGCTAACAGCTGATGAACTCCATTCTATATCTTCAGATAATGCATGTGAGATAGATAGATAAAAAAATCCATATATTTGTAATTAAATGTAATGCTTGGACATTTTTTTCTCAAAATGGGAATATAAATAACTGCATTGATTAATTTTTAATTTTTTTGTATATATAACATGAATATATTTTTATTTTCAGATGCAAATCTACTGCTATGATGCAGAGCAGTTTACAGATTTCGAAGAGGCAATTAAGGGAAATGGAAAGTTAAGAGCTTTATCAATTTTGTTTGAGGTAAACAAAGTATATCTTTGTGTCATTAAACAAGCATTGAAACACGGCAGATGTTCAAACTGAATTTAAGTGGTTCCAATGTGTGATCACTGAGTTAAAATTTGCATATATCTTTCTAATGTATTCTTACAGAAAAGCAAGTGGGCAAAATACATTTTCTCTGCTTTAAGTCATCTATAATTTTGGTGGTAAACTGCAACTTTCGATTTCTTTCATGAAGCCTGTACTGTTAAAAAAATGCAATTTCTTTTTAACAGATTGGACTAGAAGATAATCCGGATTATAATCCAATCATTAATGGAGTAGACAGTGTTAGTCGTTTTGGTAAGTCTGCCTCCATGTTTTATTGATTACTGATTAGACTAAATTCCATTTCAGTGTAATTATGACACCTTAAAGACATTGGGGAGCATGGTTCTCTAGAGCTCAGCTGTGTCTATTTTGTTAGAAACCACAGAGGTAATCTGGATAGACTAGAGAGTTAGGCAATCACCAGCTGTATGAAATTTAATATAAGCAAGTGCCAGATTCTGCACCTGGGATGGGGTAATCCTGGTTATATGTACAAACTGGGCAATGACGGGCGGGACAGCAGCCCTGTGGAAAGAGATCTGGGGTTTGGGTTGACAGCAAGTTGAATATGAGTCAACAGTGTGCCCTGGCAGCCAAAAGGGCCACCTATGTCCTGGGGCGCATCGAGTACAGCAGAGCTAGCTGGTCAAGGAGGTGATTGTCCCACTTTACATTGCACTGGTGTGGCATCACCTCGAGTACTGTGTGCAATTTTGGGTGCCACAATATAAGAAGGACATCAAACTATTAGAGTGCATCCAGAGGAGGGTGACCAAGATGGTGAAATGTCTTGAGGACAAGACTTACAAAAAGCAGCTGGGGTCACTTGGTTTGTTCAGTTTGGAGAGGAGAAGGCTGAGGGGTGACCTCAACACAGTATACACTTTCCTCAAGGGGGGCAGCAGCGGGGGCGGTGCTGATCTCCTCTCTCTGGTGTCCAGCAATAGGACATGAGGAAACGGAATGAAGCTGCATCAGGGGAAGTTCAGATTGGGCATTAGGAAAAAGTTCTTCACTGAGAGGGTGGTCAGTCACTGGAACAGGATCCCCAGGGAAGTGGTCATGGCACCAAGCCTGTCAGAGTTCAAGGAGCATCTGGACGATGATCTTAGTCATATGGTTTAGTTTTAGTTAGCCCTGTGAGGAGCAGGGAGTTGGACTGGATGATCCTTATGGGTCCCTCCCAACTTGAGATAGTCTGTGATTCTATGGTTTATTTACCCCAAGACTGAATATTTGTAACAATGGCAGTAAGTGTAAATGAATAAATATAACTATCATGAGGAATTTGCACCTCTTTAAGTGCTAAATCAGGAGAAATGTCTGATTTATTCCATGAGGTTTTTTAATCATACATATCTTGATTTTTATGATGTGGCTGGAAGCCAAATAACCCTGTTGCAGCCATCCAAGATGTGTCTTACAAGCGTGAGACTGAATATCAGTATTCAGTAGACTCAGCAGAGATGAATTCTTTTTTCAGTAGCTCCTGTGTAAATCTGAAATAATCCAATTACATTATATTTGCACTAGCATTATTCAAACCAAATGTTGACGCTTGGGTGTTTTAGAATTCCTTGCAGTTTCACATCAGAGCTCATGGACTTCAGGGTAGTGCATGAGGAGACCTGGGTGCTGTTTCTAACTCAGTTTCATGGTGGCTTCTCACAAAAATAAACATGAATGAGCACTGTCTTGAACAGGGATATTTTCTTACATCATGGCCATGACCTTAAGTAAACGGCTAACTTTTGTCTCAGTTTTCCTATATGTAATGATGCTTGAGCTTTGTAAAGCCCCTTAAGCTGTTAGTCCACTATTTTAAAAGCTTTCAAAAGTATGACACTAAAATCAAGATTGTTTTTCTCCAGAAAACAAAATATCAAAGGGGCAACCTTCATAAATTACAAAGACAGAGGAGGAGGAAATATAAAGCAGTTAAGATTCATTATCTTTGCATGCCATCTTCTATGAAACACAAAGGAGAATGAGTAATACATCAAGGCAGATACTGTCCGACAACCTTGGAAGGAGCTGTAAAACTATCAGCAGCAAGATTCAAGATACAGCTGCTACATGGCACTTCAACAATGAGTAGAATATCGTTTTCTTGAATAAAATGCAAATGAGCTCTGAAAATTCAGGTCATGACTAAATCAAGTTGTTCCTCCTGAAGAAAAGTGAATAGCACACAATCTGTCCTTCTCTGCGATGTACATGATCTGTCCTTGTCAGTCATATATGTATTGTGCTTATTTGAGTCCCAGTTGCTGAGTTCTCAAGCTCTGCAGAGGAGCAGTCCTCTTCCTTCCAGACAAACTCTCTGTTTCTCATCATTTTTTTGTAGGTGTTTGATTTTTAGAATCTAGGCTGTCAATCACATTAAAGGGCATTTTAAAATCCAAAGTTGCAAAATGTATGGCAGGATTCTTACTGTAAATGAGAAGTTTCATGTCCCCAGGCATCGATATAAAATGAACGGGCCATTCATTTTTACTGAAGGAAGAACGCGTTAACTAGACACGTACCAGATAGCAATGATAGCTTCTGTCTGAAGGTTGATTACTATGTTGACAGGAGAAAGAGAAAGATGGGCTTTGCTCAACACTGCTAAATGTTCCCCTTTCATGATGATAAGAGAGAGGAGAGAAGCCACTCTTAAACCCTAACTCAGCAGAACAGTCACCGTACAGAAGAAAAGCATCAATGATTCGTAGTAAACTATTAATGTTATTTGCTGCTCTCACCAAATTTGTAAGGAATTATGAAGGCAAAGACTGGTCAGAAATCTGTACAGGGCTCAAGAAGTAACATATCTGTAAAACCACAAGTTAATGGGCAGTCTGAAAATTCATTAGATATTTGTAAGTGAATACTTATTAAAAAGGGAAAAAATTAAAACGAGTAACTTTAGATTGAAATAAGGTATACAAGGATCTACATTACTCCAAGGTGTAAAAACCAAGTATTATTTTGGATGCACCAGACAATAAGGCAGATAATTGTCATGAGATCAAGAATTGTCACAGACTGAAAAAATCTGCCTTGAGGAAGTTGGTACCCTTTCTGCCAATTTCTGTTGCTGGACCTTACTGTCATGTACCAGCATGAACTTGACTTTCCATGGATGGACTGTTAGCAATTCTTCATGCATACTCCCAGCTGACAAAGTACCAGGTAAACTGCTGACCTGAAAGACGTGATATTATTTTCACAGGACAATAAACAGAGTGGCCGTACTCTCCTGGAGGAGGTCTTTGTATCCTTCTGTGCTTTGTGTAAAGCTGTTACAGTTTTTCGTTGTATTATCACCATCTTAAAAACTCCTGATCCACAGAAATTCTGCTTCTGTGGTCATAAAAGTAATATTACTCTCAGGTCTAACATGGTGACAGTTCCCCAGGCAATGATATTCTGCAGAGGTTAAGATCCTGTGAGAAACTCAACAACTTCACCAAATTCAGGGAGAGTTTGAAGCTATGTCATGAGACCAAGAACAGAGATTTAACATATTTTTTCTTTGAAGTTCACGTGTGAGGCAAAGATTTGGCATCTTGGACATTTATGAGTAAACTTACAGGTGAACAAATTCTTGTGAACCAATGTACTGATTATTTATTACTGGAGTAACTCATTATACCTTCCCAAGTAAAAAAAGTTGATTTTGAACAATATTTATTCAAACTAAATAGAAAAGTCTCAGCAATTTATTTGTATGCTAGTCTTTCCGGAAATCAAATTTTTTAATAGCCTCAAAATTAGCATGTTCCTATAATGATAACTCTTTTGGAAAGTGTGATTTCTATTTATTCATTGCTTCTGCAGTATTTTAACTATCTGACCCTAATTTATTTTTTTCCCCCAGGAAAACAGGCTGCCTTAGAACCATTTATTTTGCTGAACCTTTTGCCGAATGCAACAGACAAATATTACACTTATAATGGGTCTTTATCAACTCCTCCCTGCTCTGAAACAGTTGAATGGATTGTGTTTAAAGATACTATTAGTATTTCTGAAGACCAGGTAATTTGTTTAATGTATTAAACCCAAATAATTGTACATAATACCAAAGAAAGGCAGTTGCCATATATATGGTAAAAGCTCATGGCATTCATTGCCAGCCCAACAACCTAGCTTTTATCTAGTTATAAATTTTTCATATAGCTATTAAATTAGAAAGGATATGAATTACTTGAGTGTGTTATCTTTTCCCTTTTTTAGTTCAGGACTAGATTCTGACGCATTTCTTGCCTTCGAAGGGAGTGAGAACACACTTCCTAACTCTGCAGGCTATCTGGACTTCTAGCCCATATAAAGAAGAGTGCAAAACTGGGCAGAGCAGAGTGGTTGAGAAATACAGGTGGAGTAAACCATTAGATATACTGCCGGTACAGAGGAACAAAAGTTCAGTGCCACCCAGGACAGCTCAACAGGGAGACTTTACCCAACATCTTTTCCCCAGGGTTTTTGCCTGTTAGCAGAATCTGGTTAATTTGTTATGACTTCTGACTTCCTTTTTTCCTCGCCTCTTCTAGTTAGCTGTATTCTGTGAAGTCCTTACAATGCAGCAGTCTGGCTATGTTATGCTGATGGACTACCTGCAAAACAACTTTCGAGAGCAGCAATATAAGTTCTTTGGGCAAGTGTTTTCCTCTTACACTGGACAAGAAGAAATTCATGAAGCAGGTATTTACTGAATAGTAATTACTCTCTTCATAGGTTGAAAGACAATTTTCAGTAAAAGATTCATCCTAGTATGAAGATATCCATTTTAAATTGTGTCGAAAGTAGCACGCTGTATTATTACCCATAAATACATCCCTTCAGAGAAAAAAACTAGCAATCATAAAACATGTCAGATTAAATGGAGTGGAAAATTAAATGCTTGTCTTGACCAAACATTCAGTGATGATCACGTCAGTTCAAGCTTTCTTGCACTGCCCTTTTACTGTGTTTCAGACATAAACAAAGCTGCCTTTTCAGGGGCTGCAAAAGGATTTTGTTTTACAAACCCACTTGGGTTTTTTGTTGTGTAATATAGATGCTTTTCCAACAGAGGCTGAAGTGAGGTCACCAAATTCATTTCACATAGTCTGCTGAGAAAGTGATAGATGCAGAGAATCCCAGAAGCCAGATTCTGTTCTCTGTTTTACCTAAAACCTCGGGGAAGTTTGTGCAGTTTATATGACCAAAACAGTACCTTACGTAATGGGAAACAAGATCTAGCACTAAATATGGAAGATGATGATTTCTATACTCACAAGGACAGAGGAATAAATAGTAAAAATCTAATTCTGGGGCATTATGTTGCTATTTGGGTGGAGATGCCTGTAGATTCTTAATCTCAATTGCACTGAACTGTGCTTAATTAGAGATAGACTGATGACTGAAGCATGTGGTATATGTGTTCTCCAGATTAGAAAGAAGTGTGGTTTCATTTTAATTCACCTAGGTTGGGTAGATAATATTTTTTCCTACTGGAAGGATCCTGTGTATGAAACTTGCATACAAGCTAGGAGATGTTCATCATTCAGCACTGCCAGAGGGCTGTCTCCTGCACAAGTGTATCACCTGCTTCGCCACAGGATAGCTTTACTGCTTCATTTCTGTAACCAGACAGTGACACTTCTGTTTTGACCTCAGCTTGTCATGAACTCCTCAGATGTCTACTCAGGATATGAGGTTTTTTGCATTGGTCTAAGCCAAGAAATATCTGTTCTGGCAGGTTTGGGGTTTTTTTTGTTTAGGTACTAAGAGCACTTGAAATTTTGAAGCTTGGAGAAGGAGTATGGAATTGAGATGCAGCAATCAAGCATATTATCACTATTAAATATATTTCTGTTTCCAAATAGACTTACAATGGATATTGTTGATTTGGCCTAACTTAAAAGAAAGATCATCCTTCCTCAAATGCCTCTGTTTAATGAAAGTCTCTGGCAGACAGGTCACTGTAATACAGACCACTTTTTCTTATGTCCATGTTGTCAGAAGGAAATTAATCTTCTCGGTCCTTTATAAATAGGAGTCAATCTACAGTGAAGTAATGCTGTAGGCAAAGGACCTTTGAAAACAGAGACTGGGACTTCTTCTGCTACCTGCAATCCACTTGCCTCCCAGGTGGTTGCACTACAGCCATGACCTTGGCCTTGACCCTTCAGCTCAGTCACTGCTACTTTTGGAAGCTACTTTTGGCTGTGCTGTCCTAATTTAGATTTCCATAGAGACTGACAAGAACAAAAGCTGGATAATACTGTTTAAGACAGGCTCCTTCTTCCTTCTGGCCACTCTGTGTGCTGACACTTGAAGGAGATTTCCATGTGCTGTCCCAAAGCAGGGTGTGCATTAAAACTGCAGAGGAGGTTGCTTCCAACCAGTCCCATTTCTGCATTATACCAAAGAGTGTTTCTGTGAATTTTCTATCTTATCTGTGAGTTT